CGGGGTCTCTGGGCTTGCATGATGACAAAATCCTGCATAGCAGAGTTTCGGGTTTCAAAAATAGTAGTTTTAAAATACACTTGTCACTGGGCTCACTTGTCACTGTTCTTGCTCGGCTGGGCCAATTCCCTGGTAGTTTATCATGCCATATGTGAACGTGTGCTGGACTAGTGCAGGAGGCAGACGGATAATGCGAATGAGAAAAAGAGGGATGTGGGCTTTGCTCTTTGAGTGTTGTTGGAGGACAGCCTAAATTCTGGTGTTGTGAAGTGACTCCAAAGTTTTGCTTCATGGAAATTTTAAATCTAGCTTGCATCAGGGCCTTGTTGTTTACTTCTGTTCAGCTCCTCATTTAAACCCCCTGTATAAATATCTTGTCAGGAGTAATAATACTTAATGCATAAATATCATTTGACCTACTTGAAGCGCTTCACGAACATTAATGCTCTGTCCCTGTGTAGGAGATGTTAGTTGAAGACTTTTTCTAGTGCGAGAGACTTTCTGCTTTCTACTAAATAGGGAAATTAGGTTGGTAGTCACCCCGGGAATAGGTTATTTCAACTTCGATTTGTTCATAGTAGCACATCAACTTTGTTACTTTACGAGCAAGCGATGCACTTCCACTCGTTTACAGAAACACGAGATATTGCTGATATATATCCAGGATATCCTGAGCCTTTCTCTGATCTGTCTTGATTTTCTAGAGCCTCCTAACTCTACTGTACATGTTCTTTCTACTTTTGGACGCTTTCCCCTTCTAATTTGGGACAAATATCAACCTATTTTGCAAATTGGCCGCGTTGAATATTTTGTGGTTCTTTGGACAAATTAGTAACAAGAAGTATTTCTAGCGTAAGCCTTGTGGACGCTGTGATGAATTTGAGGTCTTACAATTATAATGAAGGTTGACACCTCCCGGCTCCTCACCTGTTTCTCACTCAGTAGAGCACCCGATGAGCTCTGCGAGCTGCGGGGCTGCTTGGAGCTGAGGCTGGAGCATTTTCAGGTTTCCTTGGCTCTGGTTTCAGTTAGAAGATGGTTATGACACGTTGCGGAGGGGTGTTTCAGTTGCTATTGTGCAGTGGTTAAGTGGTTAAATTGTTTGTTGAGAAACCTCTGGTTACGTATTCTGATCTCTATTGCAAGCGGCATCGCGGGCTTCTGGCAAGACTCCCCAAACTGGGGCCGGGAAAGGCAGAGATGCCGTTGCCCACCTGGGGTAGGGGCACCGACTGGTGGAGCCTCTCCAGAACCGAGGGCTCTCTGCATTGTTCACTACCACATCAGTGTTAAATACCCTGACCCACTTAGGCCACTGCGCCTATTGAACTCGCAGAGGTTAATCTTGGGCTGTTTAGAAACAGCAGCCAGATAAAACAAATCTCATCCTCCTGCCTGGGAATTTACTCCGCTGTTTATCCACCGCGCTTCCGCTCGTGGGGATTCGCGGTGCTGAATGAACTACGTGCTCGTTTGTACGGACTCCAAGGTGGGACTCTAAATGTTTCAAGTTCAGCCTCTCCGTTTTTATTAATAAAAAAGTAAGGAAGGAAATAGATGTTTTATTTGAGAGGCTTCCCCTGCAGACCAGCCATTTTGAGTGTCTTAATCGCCATGTTTCCTTATTTCTCCATTTTTGATTCCAGCTATGATTTGTTAGTAGGTGGAGTGATCTCCCCGGCTTTCCTGATTTAAAAAACCAAACAAGCAAACAAAACCCATTTAAGCAGCCACGTATGCTTGATTCGCATAAAGCATCAGTTCATCCTTTCCAAATTCACATACAAGTTTTTAGGATAACGTTTTCAAACACTTGACCTTCTTTTCTGCAATACTACTTGTTTATATCATACTTGATCTTAATGAGTATTTAACTTGCCTGATTAGATAGGTGATATTTAAAATGCTTTTCATTGCATGTCTGTATTGGACTTTGAAAAGAGAGGTGTAAATCTTTCTTACCAGCCTCTTTAGTGGAAGGCAGTTCTTCATCTCCATTCTGAGAGGAGGCTTTTTTGAGTTGTAATATATGCTCTTGATAATTATTTTCATGGAGTGATACTGATTAACTGACCAGAGGGAATATAGCATCCTTCTAATTTAAAAAAAACAAAACAAACAAACAAAAACCAACAACTTACAGATCTTGTGATAAGTTTAGAATTGATTGATGATGTGAAAGGGATAGAGGCATGAAAACCTCACTTTTGGTAGGAATTACGATATCTGACTTCCTCCAGCCCATTTGAAATGCCAACCTGAAAATCAGAGAGGTTCTTAAATGTCCCACTCAACTCTTTTTGAGCATATACTAATAGTTTTTCCACTGCCTTACGCGTCAGTATTTTCAGTTGTTCGTGGTCTTAGAAAAATGTCCAATTTTGCCATGATTTCTTCTTTCCAAACTCATCTCTTGTCTTATCACAGCAGATGTAACTGCCTTTTTAAGAAGACATACCCCTGTTTTCATTATTGGCTGACAGCGTTGGGGACAAGGGAAGGGGCAGGGTTGGGGTTTTGGGAGAAAAAAAAAAAAAAACCGCTGCATGCGATGCACTTTATTTACACAAAGTGCAGAAAGTGAAGAAAATGAATGAATCTGTCTTCTGTTTGTGCACATATGGAAAATCTGGCAGTGTGCCATTTAGAGGAAAGCGCGCCTGCCAAAATGTTAGGTCTTGCTTCACCAAGCAGAGCTTGTCTTTTGGGTGAAGAAGAGGTTAAATGTTTCTCTGTTTGTCACTTCTGAGAGTACTTAGCCACTGTTACACACTAACTTATGCAAAGACCTGCAAGGAACACACTTAACCAGTTTTTGCATCCTGTAGTTGGTTCCTTCAAGCCAGGTTTAAAACAATTTGCTGACCAGTTAGTAGAGCTGTGGAGCTTGTTGCTGAAGGACACAAAGACTT